CACGCACCACCATGCCCAGCTAATGTTTTGTATTTTTAGTAGAGACGGGGTTTCACCGTGTTGACCAGGATGGTCTCGATCTCTTGACCTCGTGATCCACCCGCCTCGGCCTCCCAAAGTGTTAGGATTACAGGCTTGAGCCACCACGCCCGGCCATCCTCTTTCTCTTTCTCCCTTTGTCCTTGCCTCCTTTTCCTTCCTCTTTGAAGCCCTTTCTCTGTCTCTGGCTTTTGCTCAGTGTCTCTCTTTCTGTCTTCCTCTCTCTTCGTCCATCAACCTGCTGCTTCTCCTTCTTCTTTTTTTGTCAGAGGATGGAGTCTCACTTTGTCACCCAGGCTAGAGTGCAGTGGCGTGATCTCAGCTCACAGCAACCTCCACCTCCCAGATTCAAGCCATTCTCCTGCCTCAGCCTCCCAAGTAGCTGGGACCATAGGCACATGCCATGACACCCAGCTAATTCTTGTATTTTTAAGTAGAGATGGGGTTTCACCAGGTTGGCCAGGCTAGTCTCAAACTCCTGACCTCAGCCTCCGAAAGTGCTGGGATTATAGGCATGAGCCATAGTGCCCTGACTGAATCAATCTGCTTCTCTGATTCTCTTTCTACACACTACTTATTTCAGGGCAGGAATGTATATCACAATCATCAGAGGGCCTTTAAGAATACAGACACCAGGCCAGGCACAGTGGCTCATGCCTGTAACCTCAGCACTTTGGGAGGCCAAAGTGGGAGGATCACTTGAGCCCAGGAGTTCAAGACCAGCCTGGGTAATATAGCAAGACCCCAAATCTACAAAAAAAAAAATTTAATTAGCCAGGCATGGTGGCATGAGCCTGTAGTCCCAGCTACTCAGGAAACTAAGGCAGAAAGATCACTTGAGCTCAGGAGATTGAGGCTGCAGTGAGCTGTGATCATACCACTGCACTCCAGCCAGTGTGAGACCCCATTTTTTTTTGACAGAGTCTCGATTGTTGCCCAGGCTGGAGTGCAGTGATGCGATCTCAGCTCAACGGCAACCTCCACCTCCTGGGCTCAAGCAATCCTCCTGCCTCAGCCTCCTTAGTAGCTGGGGTTACAGGCATGCACCACCACACCCAGCTAATTTGCTGGATCTTTTTGTAGAAATAGGATATTGCCATGTTGCTCAGGCTGGTTTCGAACCCCTAGGCTCAAGTGATCCTCCCACCTCTGCCTCCCAAAGGCATGAGCCAGCACGCCTGGCCAATTCAGCCTTTAAAAAGGGGAAAATTCTGTCATTTTCAACAACATAGATGAAACTAGAGGACACTCCGCCGGTGAAATGCCACATGATCTCTTTTCTATATGGAATCTTAAAAAGTTGAACTCACAGAAGTAGGGAATAGAATGATAATTACCAGGGGCTGGGGGATGTTGATCAAAGGATACAAATTTTCAGTTAAGAGGAATAAAATGAGGCCGGGTGCGGTGGCTCACGCCTGTAATCCCAGCACTTTGGGAGGCCGAGGCGGGCGGATCACCAGGTCAGGAGTTCAAGACCAACCTGGCCAACATGGTGAAACCCCATCTCTACTAAAAATACAAAAATTAGCTGGGTGTGGTGGCGCACACCTGTAGTCCCAGCTACTTGGGAGGCCGAGGCAGGAGAATCGCCTGAACCTGGGAGGTGGAGGTTGCAGTGAGCTGACATCATGCCACTACACTCCAGCCTGGGTGACAGAGTAAGACTCTGTCTCAAATAAAAGAAAAAAAAGAAGAAGAAGCTTTAGTGATCTATTGCACAGAATGATGACTATAATAAATAATGATGCATTGTATGTTTCCAAATTGATTTTTTTTGAAGTAGATTTTTTTTTTTAGATGGAGTCTCTTTCTGTCACCCAGGCTGGGGCGCAGTGGCACCATTTCAGCTCATTGCAACCTCTGCCTCCTGGATTCAAGCGATTCTCAAGCCTCACCTGCTCTTTAATGCCCCAGAGAGCCCGATAACACAGACACTATTATCCTGATTTTAGAGAAGAGGAAGTTACGGTTCAGAGAGCATAGTGACGTGGCCAACCTCAAGCAGATGGTAAATTTTTTACATTCACTTTTCCTTGATTAAACATTTATGGAGCTCCTAGCACTATGCCAGCTGTGCACTTTAAAATATATATATATATAAGAACAGGCCAGGTGTGGTGGCTCACGCCTGTAATTCCAGCACTTTGGGAGGCTGAGGTGGGTGGATCACGAAGTCAGGAGTTTGAGACCAGTCTGGCCAATATGGTGAAACCCCGTCTTTACTAAAAGTACAAAAATTACCAAGGCGTTGTGGCGCGTGCCTGTAATCCCAGCTACTCAGGAGGCTGAGGCAGAGGTTGCAGTGAGTCGAGATCACGCCATTTCAATCCAGTCTGGGTGACAGAACAAGACTCCGTCTCAGAAAAGGGAAAAAAAGAAGCCAGGTGTAGTGGCTCATGCCCGTAATCTCAGCACTTTGGGAGGTTGAGGCACGTGGCTGATCACCTGAGGTCAGGCGTTCGAGACCAGCCTGACCAATGTGATGAAACTCTGTCTCTACTAAAAATACAAAAATTAGCTGGGCATGGTGGCGCATGCCTGTAATCCCAGCTACTCAGGAGGCTGAGGCAGAAGAATCACTTGAACCCAGGAGGCAGAGGATGCAGTGAGCCAAGATCGCACAATTGCACTACAGCCTGGGCAGCAAGAGTGAAACTCAGTCAAAAAAAAAAAAAAAACAGAAACATTTAACATGAGCCCTACTCGCTTTACAAAGGTTTAAGTTAAATGTGCGATACAACATTGTTGACCAAAGGTGCAGCAGATCTCTAAAACATGTTCCTCTGGCTTAATTTTAGTATTTGAAAGATTTTCAAGATTTGTTCAAGCCAGTAATTCTAAATAACATTCTAGAACTATGAAATTCTAGAAATAGGAAAAATTCCTTGTGGATTCCATTCTTCTGTTCATACAAACAAAATTCATGACAATATTAGATTTATTTATTCCTAGCTTATTCATCAGTCCTCAGGCATACAGAAATAGCAGAAAGACATTACAGACTGGCTGGGTGCAGAGGCTGACGCTTGTAATCCCAGCACTTTGGAAGGCCAAGGCAGAAGGATTGCTTGAGCCCAGGAGTTTGAGACTAGTCTGGGAAACATAGCAAGACACCGCCTCTACAAAAAATAAAATTTAAAAATTAGCCAGGATGGTGATGTGGGCCTGTGGTCCCAGCTACTCAGGAAATTGAGGCAGGAGGATTGGTGAGCGCAGGAGTTTGAGGCTGCAGTGAGCTATGGATTGTGCCACTGCACTCCAGCCTGAGCAATACAGCAAGATTCTGTCTTTATTGACGGAGTCTCTCGTTCTGTCACCCAGGCTGGAGTGCAGTAGTGCCATCTCGGCTCACTGCAGCCTCTGCCTCCCGGGTTCAAGCAATTCTCCTGCCTCAGCCTCCCAGGTAGCTGAGATTACAGGCATGTCCCATCACACCCAGCTAATTCTTTTGTTTTTTTTAGTAGAGATGGGGTTTCACCATGTTGGCCAGGCTGGTTTCAAACTCCTGACCTCAAGTGATCCGCCTGCCTCAGCCTCCAAAAGTGCTGGGATCACTGGCTGAGCCGTTGTGCCTGGCCTCCAGATTCTGTCTTTAAAAGAGAAATAAATAAAAAATTGACTGCAAATGGGCTGATAAACTCAATTCCTCTATTTTATTCAGTTGCTAAGGGATTTTTGGATCTCGTATGGCTAATAAAGGGAAACTGAAGAAATACTTGCAGAATGGGAAACCGATGACATGCAATGCAATCGTGATTACACGAAACAAGATGCTAAGGGAAGGATGTGTGGCTCCACAAATGTGATGTCTTAGCACATTTGGTCTTCATAAAGCATCAATAATAATGGCAAAAATACAGTGTGCCAAAGACCACCCACTATGTTGTAGAATATAGTCTACATCCATAAAAGATGTTTAAACAAGAAGGAAAGAGGTGCCGGGCGTGGTGGCTCACGCCTGTAATCCCAGCACCTTGGGAGGCCAAGGTGGGCGGATCATCTGAGGTCAGGAGTTCAAGACCAGCCTGGCCAACATAGTGAAACACTGTCTCTACTAAAAATGCAAAAATTAGCCAGACGTGGTGGCACATGCCTGTAATCCCATTTGCTCGGGAGGCTGAGTCAGGAGAATCGCTTGAACACGGAAGATGGAGGTTACAGTGAGCCAGGATCACACCATTGCACTCCAGCCTAGGCAAAAAGAGCAAAACTCTGTCTCAAAAAAAAAAAAAAAAAAATAGTAACTAAGAACACACTGTGTTTTGGAATCCATGATTAATCTGACCTTTCATAGTTGGAAACGTAGGTGTCCATAGATGGCGCACCGACTCTTCCTCAGAACTTCAAAGCCATTTGCAGCCCACTAGGTTAATCACCAAGAACAGTGGCCCACACACAAGGTTCGTGGAGCATAAACAAAGGTGCTTGTATTGGGGAAGCAAAGCTGCTTCTCCAGGAAGCCTCCCTGGGCCCCTCCAGGGGATTCTTGAGCCCTGGCTGACAAAGACCAAAAAGGTCTGAGATTCGGGTAAACCTGTGGCTACTCATGGGATTCCGGATGCTTCTCTTCCTGGAAATGACATGAAATTCCTCAGCCTGCATCTTCCCTCCCTGTTATTTTAAGAATTTCTTTTTCTACATTTCTTCCTATGCAAGGTAGATAGCTTAACTTTGGAGCAGAGCAAGAGCAAGGAAGGAGGGAGAAGGTGGAGATGAAAGATGAGAGAAGAGGAGGAGGAGGGGAAGGGGGAAGGAGGAGGACGGAGAGGAGGAGGGGAAGGAGGAGGACGGAGAGGAGGAGGGGAAGGAGGAGGAAGAGGGAAATGAGGAGGAAGAGGGGGAGGAGAGGAAGGAGGAGGAGGGGAATAAGGAGAAGGAGAAAGGGGAGGAGGGGAAGAAGGAAAAGGAGGAGGGGGAAGAGGAGGAGGAAGAGGAGAAGGAGGAAGAAGGACGGGAGGAGGAGGGGCACAAAGGGGAAGAAAGGGAGGAGGAGGAAGAAAGGAAGGAGGAGGAAGCAGAGGAAGAGGAGGAGGAGAAGGGAAAGAGGAGGGAGGAGGAAGAGGAGAAGGAAGGGAAGGAGGAGGAGGGGGAGGAAAAAGAGGATGGGGAGGAGGTGGGCAGGAAGGAGGGGAGGGGGAGAGGGGAAGGGAAGAAGGAGGAGGAGGAAGGGAAGGAGGAGGAGGAAGGGAAGGAGGAGAGGGACAAGGAAGAAGTGGGGAGGAGGGAAGAGAGGAGGGGACAGGGAGGAGAAGTGGTTGTGGTTAGTTCCCAGGGCCATAAAGTCCTGGCGATCAGCTGGTCGACCACGTGTGTGTGCTGGGAGCATGGCCTGGCACTGGGGGCTCCTGCTGGCTTGGGTCTGCCTGCTTCGCAGTGCGGTGGCTCTTCTAGAGGAAGGTGAGGAGCCAGGGGACCCTGGCTGGGGATAGGGTCCTGCACGTCGGCCACTGTACGCCATCAAATCCCAGACGCCACGGAGGGCAGCAGTCGCCTTTGCTTTAGGTACCTTAAGAAAGAAAAAGATACTCTCCCTTTCAGGTCAGAAACACAATCCATGGGTAAAGATTTTTTTAAAAAAAAATAAGCAAGTTCATCTAATAAAAGCATGAAAGACTAAGAATGTAAATTGAAAAATCCTAGTGACATGTTACGTGAAATCCATTCTCCCTTCACGCTGGGAGATTTTAAATCCCCAGGCAGAGGTTTTGAAAATGAGACTAATTTTCATAAAGTCGATTTTATTCCTTTTCCAAAGCCTATAACAACTATGAAGCAAAAATCTAAACATAAGAAGGGAATTTACTATAGATGCATCTGACATGTTTGATGATGACAGAGAATAGTTGCAAAAACAATTTCTTATGGAATGGCCGTGAAGAATGATCTTGCATATATTTCTTTTAAGTATTCTTCAGGACATCTTTGCATTAAAAAAAATAACACTGTGTTTGCTAATACTTCCTTTTAAAAGAATGGAAAAGAAAAAGATAGTATGACCACTGCTTTCTTATCTGCTAGAATTATTTTATACATATTGAAAAATAACACTTTACTTGGCCATAGGTGTCTTTTTTTTTTTTTAAATCAGACATCATGTTTGTAGCTACATAAAAAAGACTATAGATCAGTGGGGCAAAAAGCTAATTAAGATGACCCTAAAGCTTCTCCACTGTCATTCAATGTCTGGTCTCCTGAATTATTGATGTTATATATTTCCACATAATACTTGTGCTGTTCAGACCCCTAGTGATAAGGCATTTCTCTTAATAATGCATAAGTCATGGGCCCTGGGCTATTAGCCTGTATTTTAAATAATGTAGTGCGAGTCTACTTTTGATCTGCAGAACTGTTCACTATCTTCCTCTCTCCCCCTTGCAAGCATCTGCTTCCTGGACTTACTGTCTTTTTTTTTTTTTTTTTTTTTTTTTTGAGACAGAATCTTGCTCTGTCAACCTGACTGAAGTGCAGTGGCGTGATCTCAGTTCACTGCATCCTCCACCTCCCAGGTTCAAGGGCTTCTCCTGCCTCAGCTTCCCGAGTAGCTGGGACTACAGGCACATGCCACCATGCCCGGCTAATTTTTATATTTTTAGTAGAGATGGGGTTTCACCATGTTGGTCAGGCTGGTCTTGAACTGCTGATCTCAGGAGATCCACCCAACTTGGCCTTCCAAAGTGCTGGGATTACAGGTGTGAGCCACCACGTCCAGCCTATTGTCTCTTAAGAGTTTCTTTTTAGCCACTGAGGAGCAAACTGCATTTTTTTTTTTTTTTTTTTTTTTTTTTTTTTTTTTTGAGACGGAGTTTCGCTCTTGTTACCCAGGCTGGAGTGCAATGGCGCGATCTCGGCTCACCGCAACCTCCGCCTCCTGGGTTCAGGCAATTCTCCTGCCTCAGCCTCCTGAGTAGCTGGGATTACAGGCATGCGCCACCATGCCCAGCTAATTTTTTGTATTTTTAGTAGAGACGGGGTTTCACCATGTTGACCAGGATGGTCTCGATCTCTTGACCTCGTGATCCACCCGCCTCGGCCTCCCAAAGTGCTGGGATTACAGGCTTGAGCCACCGCGCCCGGCCCAGAGAATATATTTTCATCACTCAGGAATAGTGATGACCTTGAGAATACAGGTGGTGTAACCCAGCACTGAAATGCAAGCCACAGATATGTTGAAATTTTCTTTTTTTTGGTGGAGTCTCACTCTGTCTCCAGGCTGGAGTGCAGTGGTACAATCTCGGCTCATTGCAACCTCTGCCTCCCGGGTTCAAGCGATTCTCCTGCCTCAGCCTCCCTAGTAGCTGGGACTACAGGCAAGCACCACCATGCCTGGCGAATTTTCATATTTTTAGTAGATAATGGGTTTTCGCCATGTTGGCCAGGATGGTCTCGGTCTCTTGACCTCGTGATCCACCCACCTAGGCCTCCCAAAGTGCTGGGATTACAGGCTTGAGCCACCGCGCCCGGCCACAAAGTGCATTTTTTATGTTAGTTGTATTCAGTACAGTCAATAGCAACTGGGTCCCCACTGCAATCCAGTCTGCGGATAGTGAGATGCCATCACAAATAAGGGGAATGTGAAAACATACACATCTAGGGCTCAAAGTCTTGCTCGAAGCCATAGACTAGGCTTGCTTGAAATCCAGACATGCTGGAGAGAAATCTGAACTCCTAACTTGCCAGGAGCAGAGTCTAGTGGGACAGAGGAGGTGAAGGGAGCCTCTGTTCTTGATGAATGGGGATGCAGGAGAGCTCTCGGCTATGGTTCCTACCCTTCCCCTTTGGAGAAGCATTGCATTTTAGTGGTTTAGAAGAAGTGACATGATAGGCTTGCTACGTGCACAGGCTCTAGTGGGAAGATTAGTGCATGATCGAGTGGGAAGACAGAAGACGAAACAGACCGAGTGTGGCACCTGCTAAATCTGTATGCCTGACCTGAAAAAGGAAACGTGGATGAATTGGCAAGACTTCACAAAGGACTTGGTTGAGTGATCTTGTTCCAGGGCTAGAAATTTGCCGTGTACAAAATGTCATGGCTATTCCAAGTCGACGGGTTGTCTAAGGGATTACATGGGAGTGGGGAGGGGTAGGAGGAGGGGGAGGAGGGGGAGGAGGGAGAGGAGGAAGAAGGAGGGGAGGAGGAGGGGGAGAAAGAGGAGTTTCTTTTGAGCTACTGAAGAGCAAACTCCAAGTTTTTGATGCTGGTTGTATTCAATACAGACTATAGCAACCGGGTCCCCACCGCAATCCGGCTTGCAGATAGTAAGATGTCATCACAAATAAGGGGCATGTGAAAACTCATAGACATCTAGGGCTCAAAGTCTTGCTTGAGGCCATAGATTAAGCTTGGTTGGAATCCAGAGAGGCCAGAGGGAAATCTGGACTCGTAACTCGCCAGGGGCAGAGTCAAGTGGGACAGAGGAGGTGAAGGGAGCCTCAGTTCTTGATGAATGGGGATGCAGGAGAGCTCTCGGCTATGGTTCCTCCTCATCCTCATTAGAGGAGCATTGCATTTTAGTGTTTTAGAAGCAGTGACATGACAGGCTTGCTAGGTGCACAGGACACAGAGACTAAACGGCACGAGCGTCTCCACTTATGAGCATGTGATCTGCACCTCCGCCTCTTCCCACTGGTGCCTGACCTAGTGGGTTTTTAAAAAACTCAGCTGGTGATTCTAATACACAACAAAGCTTGTGAAGCCACTAAGATATATAGATTTTTAATCTATAATTTAACTTTGACAAAGTTATGTAATTATTTTACTAATATCTTATTGAAAAAGTCATAGGGTCTATGGGATTGTCTTGAAACCAATTTTGGGGGGTTCAAATCCTTCCTTTTTTGTTTAAGAGTTTTACGTAAGTAGATTCTTCAAATGTGTGATAAGGAGAGGGGCAGCCATAGAACCATTCTAGGTTGGTAGATATTCGCTCAATAGTTAAAACTTTTCGTTTTGAGAAGGCTTCTCAGATTATAAAAATTATTAGAATAACTGCTGTTAGTGAAATAAATGAGCCTACAGATGAGATAATATTTCATGTAGTGTATGCATCGGGGTAATCTGAGTATCATCGAGGCATGAACTATTGCACTGGTCCATTATGACTGCTGCTTAAATAATACGTGCCTAAGGAAAACGTTTTAATTTCAAGACGCAAAGGCAGCCAGGACAATTTAGCTGAAAAGCAAACTTGTTGAATGAAGCAACATGAGCAAATAGCAAAGTGGTCAGTAATGAATAAAATAGATACAACAAATTCAGAATTAAAATCATTGCTTTTGCAAAAATCTTTTCAAAAAACAAAAAAAAAGTCATTACTTTTTTAAGCATAATATACAAATTTGGTGAACTAGTTATGAACACAGATTATGTTGAGTTATAATGCTTTTATATGAGAGATATCTGCAAATTAATTATAGTATGTGTAAGTTCTCTTAATCAACATGACATTTGCAAATTTATTTGTTGGTAAATTGTGCTTTTCTATCGTACATTATTTTAATGGTTATTAAGCATCATGTAGCATGGGCTGTTTGAAAAAAAATCAAAATTTTCACTCTGTATTTATTCTATATTCATTCTATGTTCTATTTCATCCTAAAGTTATGACTATTTTTCTTTTTTTATCTTGTTTTCTTCTATCTCCTTCTTGAATTAAGTTATGACTATTCTTAAAGACTCAATTAAATGAACTTTATAAAAGTTATTTAATATTTAACTAAACACATGCTGGTTTTAAATCAAATAACCTTTACATAAAGTCACTTCAGGAACCATGCAAAGTGACAAAACAAAAAATTCAATTTCTATGGAGGGGGAGGTAAATATTACAGGTTTAATGGCTCATAAAGGAACAACGGCTGAGAAAAGCTGCTTTAAGGAAAAAAAGTAAAGTTATCAGGCAGTTTCTTTCATTCCAGGAATATTAGGATATTCAAACTGGGGAGGACTTGACACCCTAACGTTCTCTCCATTTTACAGCAGAGTAAACTGAAGGCAGACTGTTGGTAAGTGGTTGAGCCTGTGCCCTGATTTGGGCCGTTACTTCCTACTGAACCAACCCCTCCAAGGGGGATTCAAATTGAATTACCATATGCTTAACCTTTTTAAAATTAATGGAACTTAACACTTCTGAACTTTGTCTCTAAGATGATGGAAACAGCCAGGCACAGTGTTGCACGCCTGTAATCCCAGAACGTTGGGAGTCTGAGGCAGGCAGATCACAAGGTCAAGAGATCGAGACCATCCTGGCCAACGTGGTGAAACCCCATCTCTACTAAAA